AATGTTTAAAATTATATTTTTGTGCATGAGTAAGGAGGAGCAAAATTTTTCATTCATGGCGCTACAGACAGAGAGTGATTTAGGAAGCACTCTCTTTCTATGTTGTTTGGTTGGTGGTTATGCAATTCGTCATCCTGAGAGTTGTATGTGCGTGCACTAACTTCCCGATTAGCACTACCTCTCTTATCACATGCCTAGGTCTTATTGGCCAGAAGTGGAAGAAAACGAAACACGCATCTTCCAGCATCATATTTGCAGGAGGTATGTAGACGCGGACAGAATCGCCACCTGCACCAGCTTCCTCATGCGTCAGGTAAGAGGCACGGGTTGGAACTCACAAGCTTCCAGCTTCATTCTCTGCCAGGTTAGTACTCCCGAGTACAGCACCACCTGCACCAGCTTCATCTCACGACAGGTAAGAAGCCCTGAACGCAGCACCAGCTCCACCAGCTTCATCCTCCGACAGGTAAGAACCCCTGAACGCAGCACCACCTCCACCAGCTTCATCCTCCGACAGGTAAGAACCCCTGAACGCAGCACCACCTCCACCAGCTTCATCCTCCGACAGGTAAGAACCCCTGAACGCATCACCACCTCCACCAGCTTCATCCTTCGACAGGTAAGAACCCCTGAACGCATCACAACCTCCACCAGCTTCGTCCTCCGACAGGTAAGAACCCCTGAACGCATCACCACCTCCACCAGCTTCGTCCTCCGACAGGTAAGAACCCCTGAACGCATCACCACCTCCACCAGCTTCATCCTCCGACATGTAAGAACCCCTGAACGCATCACCACCTCCACCAGCTTCGTCCTCCGAACGGTAAGAACCCCTGAACGCATCACCACCTCCACCAGCTTCGTCCTCCGAACGGTAAGAACCCCTGAACGCATCACAACCTCCACCAGCTTCATCCTCCGACAGGTAAGAACCCCTGAAATAGATCTCACATCTCAATGAAACCGTCGGTCTTTTGACGCTGTGATAAGATGAGTAAACGTTCAGTGATGTCGTCTACTAAAGCTAGACGACATCACCGGCTTTATCTCAGAAACATAACGCCAGATCTTAATCTTTAGCTAAGATGAATTGTCCCACAATGTTCCACTTCCCAGAAGATCCTGAAGGACTCTTTGGCTCTGACGTGGAGTCAGAACAAAGAGACTCATCATCAGTCCGTACATGCGTGAAAGCAGATTGGCTCCTGAGGCATCAAAGTGCTTTTTAAAGGCATCGTCCAGTCTTAAGGTTTCTCTTTAGAGCGTTTCAGAGTGACCCGGTTCACTAGAACCTCGGAGCAGAAGAAGACCTGTTTGTGGACCTTTGGGGTCGCGGCTCAGAGGAGAAACGAGACATGGCGACAGGAAGGAAGGTACATAGAGAAGAGAAGAAGAAGCAGGACAGAGGAACGTGTTTCTGTCCTTGGTGTCCTCGCCAGCGCGCCCGTCATCAGGTGGGCTTTCTTTCATTCCCTTGTGTATCCATGGCAACCGCCACCCTTCAACAGCGGGGGGTCAAGCCCGGGAAGGTTGACGAGCGGGAATCTGCACCTCCTCCTCCTCCTCCTCCACCTCCTCGTTTACAGCGGCAAAATGATCAAAATGACCAAAGAAGAAGAAAAAGCTTTCTTGGTGAGTTACATCAGATTAAATCTACAGAACATTTGGATCTAAAACTCCTGTTAAAAAAACACATTATCCGTGTTTTTCTTCCACGTTCATAATATTGTTGTTTTCGTGGCTCCAAAGTTAAGGACAGAAATTGAGTAACGTTAATCTTCAGATGAGGTGAAGATAAGATCAAACAGAGAAAGGACAGATGTTTGATGCTCGGATGGTGTGTGGCGAACATCTCATGCACAGATGTTTCTCTGCATCTCTACGAGCGTCTGCATGCGCATGATAGTCTCAGTGTCCTGCTTCAGGGTTTCACATGTCACCAGTGAAACTGGGTGCAGGAGCTCCTCCGTGGTGCAGTTTACCAAAAGCCTCCGTTGTTGTTTCATGTGCAGAGTGAACAGGAAGTGAACAGGAAGTGACCGTATAGTAGCGTGAAGCCCCGCCCTAAACCATCCCTGCTCTATGGTCTTTTAGAGACATGTCAATCAGCGTGTAGCCCCGTGGTCTTCATCCTCAGGGGTGGATGACTCTTCCTCATGAGGGTGGATGAGTCTTCACCCTCTGCTGGCCTCCGGGGGGCGCTGCCGTGCTGCTCTGTCACAATAAAACATTTTCAGTCAGATTGGAGACTAAAAAATAAAAGTACTAGTAGCATTCCTTTATTAGTATTATTTATTTGACATGGATGGTGGACTTCCTGTATTGTAGAAATCAAATATGAGCATTCATGGGATTAAAAAATATTATTCTAATTTACATCTCGAGCTCTTACGGTGATTTTGGTTGGATTAGAATATCTTCCTTTGGATGAAGTCAGTCACATTACATTTTTAACCCGTGGCTTTTTACATTTTTGCCCGGGGAGCAGTTAGGGGTTAGCTGTCCTGCTCAGGGACACTTTGACATGGCACATGGGACGGCCGGGACTCAGCTAGATCCTGTCCGCATTTCATTCAACCTTTTAGGACACTTCTTAAAGCATAGAATCGTAGAACGTGCAGGTTTATTCTAAACTTATATCTGAGGGTTCAGTAGCTATCGAGATATGAAGTAACAGCGCCTGTGCCCCCCCCCAACTGTGGAGACTCCAGCGGTGATCAGGAGACTGGATGGGGTCCCCGTCAGCAGCCCGTGCTGGGGGGGCAATAACGTCATCCGAGGAGAACCACACCTTCTGGTGTCTTTATCTATTCCCTGCTGCTTTGGTGGCCGCTCTGAGCCCCCCCATGTGGAGAGAGAGAGTGCCGCTGGGCTCGGTGGATCAGTCAGTTGCTGCTGCCGGACCCTCACTCCCCCATGTACGACAACTTGTACCTGCATGGATTTGAAGACTCGGAGGCGGTGAGTGGGTGGGGGGGGGGGGGGGGGTGGTGCTTTGTGGCCTTTACACACACACACGGGATGAGCGGGATGAGCTTGCACGCTACTCGCAGGGGGTCATGCACGAGTCTGTGAGTGTGTGTGAGTGTGTGTGAGTGTGTGTGAGTGTGTGTGAGTGTGTTCCTCTTCATCTATGGACTGAAATGCTCAGAAAGGGGAGGGGGGGTTTATTCTATCTGACATCGGCCTCAGAAAAAAGATGGGTTCTCACATCCTGAGGAAGAGCAAGGCAGGACATGGATGTGACATGAGGACAGATGTATGATGGACACATAGATGTTGCCAGTCAGAATGCAGTCCAGCACAGTGTGCCCCCCGTTATGGAGCTCGGTCCTCAGACTGGTCTGTGAAAACCTTCATGTCTCAACGGGGCTTCTGCATGTTTTGGGGGGTCTTCGTCCAATCCCGAATTTGTGCTTTGACAGAGTCTGGAGGACATCTTTGGGACTCTTTGGTATCGATCGGGGTCTTGTGGTCCTCTGCCTCTTTAGTACAGACAGCTCGATCTAATTGGAAGCAGACTTCTTCTCATCTGCTGAACTGTGGATGTGATGAAGAATGCCTCTAGCCTCTAGCCTTTAGCCTTTAGCCTTTAGCCTCGCAGGAGGTCAGTGGGGGAAGACGGACGGAGACAGAGCTCTGGCGTCTGGACGGATAAGACTTGAGTGTGGCACGACGGACTCAGAACCGTCCACTTGTTACTCCAAGATAAGTGAGTGTGTGTGTGTGTGACACAGACACAGCTGGCGTTGCTTGTGTGTGTACTCGTGATAACTTTCTCTTTTCCAGTAAAAACAAGTGTTTAGTAATCAAATGAATCACAAAGTTTTCACTGTTTTCACAGAACCGGTCTCAGTGTAGTCCTGATCCTCTATGTGAACCAGTCTCCCTTTAGCCCCCCCCCTGCCACTCCTCCCTAGGATTTTTAACGGTCTGGCCCTAAAAACCTGAAATGAGTTTGACACCCCTGCTCCTCTATGGGAACCAGTCTCGCTTTGGTCTGAGTTCTGGTACCTTCGGATATTCTCTGGAGATCTGCTGCTTTTTGGCCTGTTGGGATCTCGATGGTTTGTCACCAGCTGCTCGGACCTCTTTTGTTCTTCTTGTCCAGTTCTTCTTGTCGTGTGGATGTGCTGCTAACGAGGCGAGAACTTACAAGTTATGCCTCTGGATGCATCTTCAGCACAGCTAGAAGCACCCCTCCTCGTCCACTGACACTTGTTGGGTGTCTTGTTGGGGGGAACTGAGGGCAGGAAGTCACTGAAGCGCTTTCATGGACATGAAGGTGAAGGCCCCCCCACAGACAACCAATCCTCACCCAGTGCTTCATACGACCTCCGGGCCGCTATAGGTTCACGTGTTAAAGCTGCATTCTGTGTAGTGACCAGCAGGGGGCGACTCCTCTGCTCCCATAGACGTCTATGAGGAAATGACTCTACTTCTCTGTAGTGACCAGCAGGGGGCGACTCCTCTGCTCCCATAGACATCTATGAGGAAATGACTCTACTTCTCTGTAGTGACCAGCAGGGGGCGACTCCTCTGCTCCCATAGACGTCTATGAGGAAATGACTCTACTTCTCTGTAGTGACCAGCAGGGGGCGACTCCTCTGCTCCCATAGACGTCTATGAGGAAATGACTCTACTTCTCTGTAGTGACCAGCAGGGGGCGACTCCTCTGCTCCCATAGACATCTATGAGGAAATGACTCTACTTCTCTGTAGTGACCAGCAGGGGGCGACTCCTCTGCTCCCATAGACGTCTATGAGGAAATGACTCTACTTCTCTCTGGATTTAGTTTATGGTCTCAATCTCTAGTTTCAAGTCTTCTTCAATACAACATGTTCATTTAGTGAATGATGGTCCATTTAGAGTCAAACAGACCATAAAGCAGGGGACGCTTTAGGGCGGGGCCTAACGCTGATTGACAGGTCTTTGTATGTCTTTGAATCCATTCCAGACCATAAATTATACAAAATTATGATAATTATGAATGTATTTGTCTAGTTTGTGTTCTTTTTTCAATCAGCTCTCATTACACATTCTGACAGTTGGGTAAACCTACAAAAACTAACTTTTATTCTTTTAAAATCAACCATGTGATCTCACAGAAACCCACTCCTGAAGAAACCTACCCTCAACCCTTCTGAAGAAACTACAGACCGTCTCTCTTCTTCCCTTTTTGTCCAAAACCCTTGAACGTGCGATCTTTAATCAACTCTCCTCTTATCTCCACTGTAACAACCTCCTTGACCCCCACCAGTCAGGTTTCAAGGCCACTCCACAGAGACTGCTCTCCTTGCTGTCTCAGAGCAACTCCACACTGCTAGAGCCGCCTCTCTCTCCTCTGTCCTCATCCTTCTGGACGTCTCTGCTGCATTTGACACGGTCAACCACCAGATCCTTATTTCCTCCCTTCAGGAACTTGGTGTCACAGGCTCTGCTCTCTCCCTTCTCTCGTCCTACCTCGACGGCCGCACCTACCGGGTAACCTGGCGAGGATCTGTGTCGGAACCTTGTCCTCTTACTACTGGAGTTCCTCAGGGTTCCGTCCTGGGTCCCCTTCTCTTCTCGCTCTACAACAACTCTCTCGTCTCTGTCATTCGCTCGCATAACTTCTCCTACCACAGATATGCCGATGACACCAACTAATTCTCTCCTTCCCTCACTCGGATCTCTGCCTGTCTGACTGACATCTCTCAGTGGATCCGCCCACCATCTGAAAATCAACCCCCGACAAGACTGAACTACTTCTCTTTCCGGGAAAAGACTCTCCGACCCGGGACCTGACGATCAACTTTGGGAACTCTGTGTTAACGCCCACTTTGACTGCAGGAACCTCGGCGTGAGACTCGACAGCCGGTCTACTGATTGTGGATGATTATGAGATCACAGACAAAAGGGGGATACTCCTCCACATCTGTTACCATGGTAACCAATAAGCAGGGCTTCCTGAGCCTCTAATTTTATCCCTACAAATAAAATGTGCTCTGGTCCTCGGCGTCGGTTCTTCATCTTTAATCCGTTGTTCTTTGATCCTGCAAGGATCCTCCTCACCTCCTGCATCCATCTGCACTGGTTTGCATGTAAATGTGGTTTCTGGTATAGGACACAGAAAAATGAAGAATGCATCTTTAGGAGATGTTGCTTTTCATTAAATAACCTGATTTCCGTCTATGTATTGAAGTATGGGATCTTTACACATTTGTGCAATTTCGTTATTGTCACTTTGTTTTTGTTTTTAGGTAAATTAAGTTTTCAATAGTCTGAAAAAATGTGCAGGAAATATGTTTAATATCCGTTTAGTGTATTTTTCAGTTCATCCAAACCAATCAGTAACTGTTCATGAATCGTTGATTGGAGTTAATTCAGTGCGTTTTTTCATATATATATATATATATATACATATATACATATATATAATACACACACACACACACACACACACACACACACACACACACATATGCATAGAAGATGTCTTTGTACTTATAACTTAGATTTAAAATGAGTTTCACATTAATTGTCGCTATCAATTACCCGAGTATTGGTTCCTATTCTCATGTAATGCTTTTTATTGTTACTCATCCCTCTTGGTCACGTGACCTTCAGGGCTCAGCTGATTCCTACACCAGCCGACCGTCGGACTCGGATGCTTCTCTGGAGGAGGAGAAGGAGGCCGGGCGGCAGGAGAAGGAGCAGCAGGCTGCCGCCCAGCTCGAGAGGGCAAAGGTCAGCTTCTACTCTTTAAACCGTCTTCCCGCCGTACGGTTCTGCGTGTCCCTGACTGAGCACAGCACCTCGCGTTAAGTCATAAGAAATGTCTTTTTATTGCTCACTTGTCCTCTCAGTGCTTCTGGTGTGGACTTTGAATTGCCTTGTTGTTGAAATGTGCCATACAAATAAAATTGCCCCTCTAGTCGATTTGGTCGATTGAAAAGTAGCTGGCGAGCTTACGACCTTCATGACCTCGCTGACTGCGATCGCTCTTCTCCCCGCAGACCAAAGCGGTGGCGTTCGCCGTGAGGACCAACGTGAGCTACTGTGGCGCTCTGGACGAGGACGTCCCCGCGGGCGGGACGGCTGTCTCCTTCGATGCCAAAGACTTCCTGCACATCAAAGAGGTGCAGCTCCAGATCCCAAATGAGAAGTGCACGTCTGAATGAAGTCTCTCAAGAAGATGTCGATTGAAACTGTGTATGAGAAGTGCTCAGAGTAATCCCCGCGTGGCCCTCAGAAGTACAACAACGACTGGTGGATCGGCCGGCAGGTGAAGGAAGGCTGCGACGTCGGCTTCATCCCGAGTCCTCTGAAGCTGGAGAGCATCCGCCTGCAGCAGGAGCACAAGAGAGGACGCCTCCATGGGTGAGCGTGTCTCCAAATGTCACACGACATCAGCCTGAAGGTTGCCGCTGTCCCTCATTTGAACACCGCTGTCTTCCTGCTGGCCGTCGTCATGGCGGCAGCAAGTCCAGCGGGAACTCCTCGTCCAGTCTGGGCGACATGGCGACCGGTTCGTTCAAGCCGACCCCGAGCGCCGCAGGTGGGTGTGTCGCTCCTCCGCCCTCCTCCAGAAGCGCTCACGTCTCCCCGCGTTGCACCCACTCCCCTGTTTCTCCCCCTTTTCTGTTTCAGGGAAGCAGAAGCAGAAGGTGGTGGGTATCCAAGTCACACCAGGGCCAGAAGTATCACAAGAGAAAACCAGTGACGAGTCGACTCGGGTCACTATGTGAACAATAATGAATAGACTCTATAGTCTTTATACAGTGGAGTTAACCATGACATTTAAACAATGGTTACATATCATATTTAATACAAATAGAATTCCTGCTTATTAGTAAATACTAATGGGAATGAATGCTTGAGTGTTCTGCAGGCCGAGCACGTCCCTCCGTACGACGTGGTTCCCTCCATGAGGCCGCTGGTCCTGGTGGGCCCGTCCCTCAAGGGCTACGAGGTAAATATACAACAAGCATCTTCATTATAATCTGGGGTTTATATTCGTTCACAACTTTAAACTCTAAATTCAAAATTGTAATTTTAAACAAATAGTAAACTACAATTCGAATTAAAATGTGATTTTTTTTAACCTCATCTAGGGTTTCATGCAACGCATTGGCTAACTCTTGAATGGTAATAGTTGATCAGGCCATAGTGACAGCGCAACGTAGGGTGGAGCTGCATGAGGAAGGACGTTAATAACTAATAACATGATCACATGGTCACATGATCTCCTTCAAGCTTTCAATTATGTGCTTTGAAGCCGAATGAGAATCCGTTGAACGGCGACCGTTCACTGATCATCGGTCCACATTGGCGGCAGATGACGCTCGAGTCAGTTGTCATGGATTCACAGTCTCCCAATCATGGCGTTGCCGTGGTAACAACCATCTGGGTAAACTGCATCGGTCTGAAAAAATGGAGCATGGTTTGAAATTAGGAACATAGAACATCTTCCATAAGACGGAGAGGTTGGAGTTTTTTACATTACATTTACATGACATTACAGGTCATTTAGCAGCCGCTTTTATCTAAAGTGACTTACATTACACTTTAAGCACTTCGACATGGAACATGGGGCAGCCTGGAATCGAACCACCAACCTTGTGCTTCCCAGCACACCTTCTCTAACCCCTGCACCACGACGACCTCTTTTATTTGATATTATTAATTATCGTTATTTCTACAATTCAATAAAGCAAAGCGACACTTTATCGCTTAATTTCATGTGGGAGGGTTCAGAAGTTGCCCCACGGCACGAGGGTCGTGAGTTTGATTCCCGGGCAGACGGGCCGTCTGTGCTCAGCGCGGGGGGAGGGGGGTTTCCTCCGGCTTGCTCCCTGTGACCTTTGACCTTCTCCTCTTTTGGGTCCCGTGTCCTGGCTGCAGGTGACGGATATGATGCAGAAGGCGCTGTTTGACTTCCTGAAGCACCGCTTCGACAAGAGGTGAGCGGTCGAAGCGGACGCAGCATCGCTACGGTTCCTCCTCCTCCTCCTCCTCCTCCTCCTCCTCCTCCTCCTCCTCCCCAAGGTGTGACACATGTGCTTTGTGTCCTCGCAGGGTATCCATCACTCGGGTAACCGCTGACATATCATTGGCCAAGAGGTCCGTACTGAACAACCCGAGTAAGAGGGCCATCATTGAGCGATCCAACACGCGCTCCAGCCTGGGTAAAGACACCGCGGCTCCTCCCCTCCGTGATGGGCACGTCTGGCGGGCGATGTCCTCCTCCCGCTCACAGCCGCTGCGTGTTGTCCGTTGCAGCCGAGGTCCAGAGCGAAATCGAGAGGATCTTTGAGCTGGCCCGCTGTCTGCAGCTGGTGGTGCTGGACGCCGACACCGTCAACCATCCCGCGCAGCTCGCGAAGACCTCACTAGCGCCCATCATCGTCCACGTCAAAGTGTCCTCGCCGAAGGTAGGGAGGACGGACTGAAAGCCAGAATGACTCATGCTGCTACATCTGCTGTCTTTAGTTGGTGCTACTCAATGTGTCACAGGGATCCACCATGTTGTAACTTCGTTGTGTTGCTCCGCGTTGCTCTTTGGGAGGTTTCTTCCTTCTTGTTTCCACATCGAAGGGTTTTCTGCTCCGATGTGACGGTCCCTCTGCACAGATGATTTCAGACAAAAAAAGACATCTGGAGAACTGCTACCCCCCCCCCCATTGAGTATGCACCATATGTCATCATTCACCCGTTCACACAGTGGCACCATGCGAGGCGCCGCCGGTCACACGAGTGGGTCTGTGAAGACTAAAGGACGCTCCACGCTGTGAAGAAGTCCACGGCGGTTTCATTTGTTTCTTTAGTACCAAACTGCTGCACGCTCGCCGGATGAACGAGTCTTTCCTCAGATGCGTGTTGAGGTTGGACCTTTGAGCCTCAGGAGGGAAAAACTAAATGTTTTATCACGTTGGACGAGACAAATTCATCCACGTAAACCACACTGATCTGCATCGGTATTGATGTTTGTCAAGGAGCCACTGCACAAAGAAAGGGTGGTTTATACCCTGTTGTAGTACAGTGAGGGACCCAGTGAGGGTAAAACAGGTGCATCGGTGGGGCATCAGCAGGGATTTAGGTCTTGTACCGGACCGCTTGGTGAAGAGGGAGCAGAACCAGAAGGCCAAGCTTTGGGAGTCTCGCCCTCGGCTGTGCTCATGAGCAGACGCTTTAAAACGACCACCTGAGGTGGTTCATCACCTCACTGGGGTTAGACCAGAGGTAGACCGGTGTGATCATCTCGCCCGGCCTGCCAACGCCTCCGGGATCATCAGGAAGAGACGGAGAGCGTTGCTGGAAAGAGAGACGTCTGGAGTGACCGGTGGTAAGCGCTGTTTAATCCGTATTCTCAGAGGTTTTCTTGTGCGTGTCTGTTTTTTTATTGCAGGTCCTCCAGAGGCTGATCAAATCAAGAGGGAAATCTCAAAGCAAGCACTTGAATGTGCAGCTTGTTGCAGCAGAGAAACTCGCACAGTGTCCTTCTGTGAGTGAACTTCAGAACTACAGCAGCGCTCGGCTCCTGCCGGTCGTCAGGCTACTCATTCCCTCCCTTCCCACCCGCAGGAGATGTTTGACATCATTCTGGACGAGAACCAGCTGGAAGACGCCTGTGAACACCTGGCAGAGTACCTGGAGGCGTACTGGCGCTCTACACACGCGTCGCCTAGCACGCCACTCAACCCCCTGCTGGGACGCAACCTGGGCTCCACCGCTCTCACCCCGTACCCTGCTGCCATCCAGGTGAGCCCGAGCAATACAACGTCGTCTTCTATTCCCCTTCATTCAGTGGTTCCTTTGATTTCTTAATAGTGTTTTATTATGCTTACCAGGCGGTAGTGTTTTAAAAACCTGCATCCTCTCACCTGACCAGCAGGGGGCGACTCCTCTGCTCCCATAGACGTCTATGAGGAAATGACTCTACTTCTCTGTAGTGACCAGCAGGGGGCGACTCCTCTGCTCCCATAGACGTCTATGAGGAAATGACTCTACTTCTCTGTAGTGACCAGCAGGGGGCGACTCCTCTGCTCCCATAGACGTCTATGAGGAAATGACTCTACTTCTCTGTAGTGACCAGCAGGGGGCGACTCCTCTGCTCCCTTAGACGTCTATGAGGAAATGACTCTACTTGTCTGTAGTGACCAGCAGGGGGCGACTCCTCTGCTCCCATAGACGTCTATGAGGAAATGACTCTACTTCTCTGTAGTGACCAGCAGGGGGCGACTCCTCTGCTCCCATAGACGTCTATGAGGAAATGACTCTACTTCTCTGTAGTGACCAGCAGGGGGCGACTCAAGTCTTCTTCGTCACAGCATGATGCTCATTTAGGGCGGGGCTTACTTCTGAATTAACGTCATAATCACGGTTCCCTCTCAAACAGGCCCAAAGGAACCGCAACAGCAACCACACGACCACGGACCTTCCCCCGCTGGAGCGCCACTGCCTGATGCCGGCCGATGAGAACCACAAGAACCACAACCGCCTGTCCTCGGGCTCGCAGTACAGCCGGGACCACACGCCGCTGGTGGAGGAGGACTACCAGGACCCCTACCAGGACTCTTACAAGCCTCATCGTAACCGGGGGTCCCCGGGCGTCTTCAGCCAGGACTCCTCCCGGCACCAGCACTGAGCCCCTCCGCCCGGTTCGAGGCTGAAGAAACACTTTTAACAACCTCGTTTCCCATTCGGCCTTCTGCCAAACGAGCATTTTCAACCTAAAGATAGATAGATAGATAGATAGATACTTTATTGATCCCTCAAGAAGGACATTGTGGTATCACAGCAGCATGTACAAGGAAGAAAATAGGATAACCTTCAAGAAGAGACCATAATAATAATTTGTAAAAGGAGAAGAGGAAGAGCAGCAACATCACAGCAGTACAGGGTTATTATTGTCATTATTTAGCCTGGGATGATTTATTGTAGAGTGTTGCTGCACTGGGCAGGAATGATCTCCTGTATCGTCCTTGTGACAGCGGAGCTGAAGGAGTCTGATGGAGGACGTGCTCCGCTGTCCCTGCAGCAGGTGGTCAGGATTATCCAATATGGATAACAGTTTCTTCAGTGACCTTCCCTCCAACACCTTCTCCAAGCCGTCCTGTTTGCAGCCAATGATGGAGCCGGCCTTCTTAACACGTTTGTTAAGTCTGTTGGTGTCACCGGCTCCAACGCTGCTCCCCCAGCAGACCTCGGCCAAGTACAAAGCACTGACTGATAGAACATCTCCAACATCTCGCTGCACACATGGAAGGATCGAAGCTTCCTCAGGAAAAAGTCGTCCCCTTCCTGTAGACGGCGTTGATGTTGGTCTTCCAGTTCAGTCTGTTGTCTATGGAGACACCCAGGTACTCGATGTGGGCCGACAGGAGCACAGCTGGTCCCCTCATGTGGCTCCAGGGGAAGTTCAGGGTCCAGAGGACCACGTTGGCTCCTCTGGACCCTCTCAGCTGTTACAGTAGCACGCAGGTAGGACTGGGATCAATCGTACAGTAGCTGCCCCCCTTTGTCATCAACTATATCAAGACGTAATAATTATATAAAGTTAGAGTTCGATGCTGTAAACCTCAGGAACGAGAGGTGTGCGTTTGTCACCCGTCCGATTCTGATCGTTGTGTCAAATCGAGACAAGATTGTTTGATTTAAGTGTTTGAATAAAGATGTTTGAATAAAGATGTTTATATAACGCGTTTGGTAGGGCTGGATTTTAGTGAGTGACTTATATTAAATGCTGACTCGTGTCAATACATTCAGAATATTTGGACATGAAAACAATACATTTTCTTTCATCTTTGATCATTAAAGGTTTTAGGAAACATTTTTTGAGTAGCAATTTAAATATCACATATTGTTGTATCTTGTCATTTAGTATTTGTTAAGAATCTCTAGTTTTTTCCAGTTCAAAGGCGAGAGATCAGATGGTGTTTCGGGGATTCTTTCGGTGATATCTGCCACATAATGTAGCTTTTATTGATTTAAAACTCTGAAGCAACTATTTAAAGATGTGAATACTGCCTGTGATGTGTTGATTAGGCATTTGTGTCTCGTTTTACAATAGTAATGAAATAAACTGCCCTGATGCTGTTGTGTGGATAGAACTGGTCTTTGTTCAAAAAACATACACGTGCCTGTTTGTATTTATTTCCTCATATGACAAGGACAACTAATCTAGAATATACTTTTATGATAAAGCCATCAATCATTGGGTGTATAAAAGGAAAGAATGTCATCCTTCTTGGCATAAGGAGTTCTTCTAGTCTGAAAGGGTCAATGGGTGTAGAAGACTGGTGTCATTAAGCATTTTAATCTGTGCTACGCAAACAATTACCAACGTCTATTTCCTTGCATGCATTTGTTGGTTACACAGCATAAGACCTGTTCAAAAACTGCCTGCTTCCCATCCACACCAGGGGTCCGTTTCAAGAAGCGGGTTTAGTGATTATGATTAGTGTGTACATTAAATATTAACGGGCAACACTATATTGGAACTTACAGCATTTTTCTCCCACACAGTTTCTCTGTCTTTCTTGTCTAATTACGGGTTCATACTCGTGCGCTTGCATTAATATTTGCAGCTCAATAGGGGTGAATATATTGTTTGTGGTGGTTGCCATGGTAAAACTCTGAGTCAACCTACTCCGAGTTGATTGAACCAACTTTAAACAGCTGTTCTGAAACACAAAACTCAGAGTTTCACATCTCAGGTTAAATCAACTCAGAGTTTAGGGTTTGACTCATTTTGTCAAACGTCCTACTTTAAACGGACCCCTGTTCTCGTTAGCAGGCACTTACTTAAATGCATCGTTATGGTAATGCGCCGCCCTGTGTTCACCTGTAGGAACTGCAGGTCCCAATTCAAGACAAACAAAATCACCAAAACCTGCATCATGGCTCTAACATTGCTGTTGTGTAGAAGAAAATCATCAAATATTTACTCTTAAAAAGCTGGAACCATAAGCAAAGTAACTCAGTAATATATTGATATCATTTTAACTGCCGTATCGACTGGTCTTTTCTCCGTTTCACCCTGATGTGCATGTCACTTGTACCACGAGGACGACGCCACTGCGCATGCGCAGGGTTGACAGCGAACCAGCGCAGCGTTCTTCACAACAGCCAGCTGATGACAGCCAGCTAGCCAGCTAGCCGCAGCGCGACGCCGTCTTTGCGGTCCTGTTTCCGGCTACACACTCACCGTCACACTCCAGCTGAAGTCCTGCGGGAGCGACGTTACTGAGATTAGTCCACACGAGGATGGCGGTGGTACTTAGAGGCCTCGGCAGCTCTTCGTCTGTGTAGTTAGCTAGCTGGAGTTGATAGCGGTGAATAGCATCAACGCTAGCTGGCTAAGTTGCGGCGGTTCGGTACGAGCTGCCACCGGAAACCAGTCGTCAGCCATGGGAATACTATTCACGAAGCTGTGGCGGCTGTTTAACCACCAAGGTAAGGAAAGCACCGCGGTTCGTTAGCTTGAAATGGTCCAAGACATCGGAGTTAAGTGGTCACACAAGGCCCGCAGTGCATCATGGGTCTTCTCCGCTTATGTTATTATTATTATCATTATTGTTCTGTTGCCCTGATGGATAAATGTGTGTGTGTGTGTGTGTGTGTGTGTGTGTGTGTGTGTGTGTGTGTGTGTACGTGTGCAGGCGTGAAGCTTGTCGTTGGTCCTGCATTAGTTTAGATTATTGATGCTCTCCAGTAAGGCGACACCAACACTGATCCTGGATCAGTAAACAGAGAGCTGATAGCAAAAAGAACACTGGACCTTTACTACATTACATTTCTGCAACGTGAGTGATGTAACCACAGCTGCCCACTGGAGACACCACATGAACCCCGACCACATGAACCCAGTGGAGACGAGCCGGTGAATGAGTCACGTGGACCTTTTGCACTGCCACCTTGCCCGTGTGATGTCAGCTCACACGCAGGTGCTCGGGATGCTCTGAAGGAGGAACGTGTGTAGTTTTAGTATGGGCTCATATTGTTGAAGGTTGTCAGCGTGAACAGAAAAAAACAATGAAACTTATATTTCCTCCAGATTGTGCAGTTGGCGAGAGAGAGTCACAGAAAGCTGCTCAAAAAACAGAAATAAACACTAACTTGGACACATGAATCTGATGTCAGCACTTCGGTTTGAAGTGCTGACATAAAACCTAAAACCCGGACGTTGTCAGAACTCCAGTTTGGTTGCTCACCACCGACTCGAGCGGATCCCGTGTGAGCGTCCCGCAGGGGAAGGCGTGCTTCTGTCCGCACGCCGCGTCAGTCAAACATTTACTTTGGAGCGCTGCTATTCTCTCCTTTGAGTCTTTTGTGAAGCGACTCTCTTCAGATTACCGCCTGTTGGACAAAAGAAAACCACGTTGAGCTGTGGGAAAACTGAGAGGACCAACGGGTCCACGCGGCCTCGTCGGTGTCCGCTGTGCGCTCCACACTGTGAACATTGGCTGTATGGACACAGAGTTGATGGATCAGGCTCTTGTCATCTCCAGGACCTGGTCCAACCCGACACCCCGACCTCTGACCTCTCCGCTCTGCATGTGATAAACTGCTTGTTCCTCCTCACTGAGAGCGAAACACTCGACTAGATCTCCACTCTCTGCTGTCCTGCTGCTAGAAGGTGTAAGGAGGTCTCTGAAGACATCAGGACCACAGAGAGCCTTCACACCTTCAGACTAAAGACACTTTAGTCGCTTTGGATTAACGCGTCAGCTAAATGACATGTGATGGAATGTAAAAGATATTTCAAGCACTAAAATCCTGCCAGATTTGGACATTTTCTTCTCATGGTTGATGGTATATTTACTTTGATTTGCATTTTAGTTTTCTTTTCCAACATTATTCAAACCAAACAATTAGAAATCTCATCTGGGCGTGGGGGGGGTGAAGCCCGCGGCCGTCTTTCACGCTTCATGTGCGTTTGTTTGTCACTGGTTGAGCAAGAACGACGTCAGCCAGCACCTGCATGACCTTTTCAAGTCCCACAATAAACACATTTCAGCTCGCCAGGCGTCTTCCAGCTGCATAGAAGCTCCCGGCGCTGCTGAGGAGATGCTGCAGGAGCTGCAGAGCGCCGTCTTTGAGGTGCAACGCGCTGGTCTCCGTTGCAGCTTTCACTTCCTCTGCGTTGTTTCCAGGCTCAAAGCGGGCAGAGCGCTTTGTAGGTATCGAGTCAATGTGCGACACACGTTCCTCCACTGATGCAGGTGTTACTTCTGCATCGGCTCTGAGGCACGGCGGCATGCCGAGCTTTAGGACCAGCGGTAACAGCAGGCAAATTCAATGTCAATTAGTCGTCCAATTAACCAAAGCTACGCATACTCAATGACAGGAAATGATTCAACTGACTACAAAAACAGGAAAAAACTATCTCAATATAATATATTCACCAAAACTAGTAAACAATAATATTTAAGAATAAATAACTGCAAATGAATCGGCACAGTTTCACTGAGGAGTCTAGAATCATTTACTAAATCTGTTTAAAGCAATCGGATTATTTGGGACCTGATTTTAAATGCGTAATAAAATGTCCCCATTTGACTCTTGGGTTGCGTTTCTTTTTCTTCCTGGAGCGCTTGTCCCACGCGATGTGTTCAATGACCGTTGGGATCTGACATTGAGGCCGTGGTGAACGTGGCGCTCTGGGGGTCACAGGGTTAAACGGTGAATTACCTCTGAGTGTCTTTGTTGCTTTTCAGAGCACAAAGTTATTATCGTGGGCCTGGACAACGCCGGCAAGACCACAATCCTCTACCAGTTGTGAGTATCCAAGTCGCTCGGTCCTTCACCCACCGGCCCGACGAGCGCAGGACGTCACCCTCGACTGTGTGTGTGTGTGTGTGTGTGTGTGTGTGTGTGTGTGTGTGTGTGTGTGTGTGTGTGTGTGTGTGTGTGTGTGTGTGTGTGTGTGTGTGTGTCCGTAGCTCAATGAACGAGGTGGTGCACACCTCGCCCACCATCGGGAGCAACGTGGAGGAGATCGTGGTCAACCACACCCACTTCCTGATGTGGGACATCGGGGGCCAGGAGTCTCTGCGGTCCTCGTGGAACACGTACTACACCAACACGGAGGTAGGCGTCCGGCGTCGGTGGCTCAGCGGGCTGATCATTGAAGCTAAGAGGGAGGCGATACGGGCTCATGTCTTCCCACAGTGACTGTCGGCCCCTTTGTTGTCTGAGCAGTTTGTCATCGTGGTGGTCGACAGCACCGACCGAGAGAGGATCTCCGTCACCAAGGAGGAGCTGTGCAGGATGCTGGCTCACGAGGTGGCACCACGTATTCACATGTTTCATTCATTACTTACCGGGTAACGGCGTCAGCAGATGACGCTCACTCACAAAAAGAGGCCAAACGAATGAATAAACTGTGTGTTAAGTCAGAAAATGCTTAAATACTATTATAACATATCAGTCAGTCATAAAACCAAACTGCCTCAGATGCTGGTAAAGCTAAATGCTATGCTAGTTTAACTGACACATGTAACAGGTGGTTTATTATTACTTGACGTGAACTCAAAACACGTGAATACACCAGTCTTTATTTTTTATGTGATGTTAAAAGCTTAACCATGTTTTTTTTTTATCATCCAAATCGTTTTTGGAGCTTCAGTGTCTTTATACATACAGAAAATCATCTGATACGTTGAGTATTTAAATATGCACTTTGTGTAGTGTACAAATAGTAAACAGAGGCTGTTTTTGGAGCCTGACATGTGACCTTTAGTAAAGCAGCTCACGGTGATTTTCTAAAAGCATAAATACGAGCAGCTATTTAAGGTGCTGATCATAATCCACCTTTTAGAGTTCGGACATCAATGTTGAAAACTAATCTTTCGATTCTCACAATCTGCATTTCCTCCCCCAGGACCTAAAACGGGCCGGGCTGCTGATCTTCGCTAACAAGCAGGACGTGAAGGGCTGCATGTCCGTGGCCGAGATCTCCCAGAGCCTCCAGCTGACCTCCGTCAAGGACCACCAGTGGCACATCCAGGCCTGCTGCGCCCTCACTGGGGAGGGGTGAGTTCTGCTCGCTCTGCCCCCTCCGGGCTGTGAAGCTGTAGTTTAGGGCGTCAAACGGGTCCTAGGTTATCACATGAACACATCGCGATAACACCATTCAGTTCTCCTTTTCACTGGACGGAGCCTGAACACATCCGTGTTAGCAGTTAGCTGCTAACAAACTAGCTCCTCCTCTCGATCGACACACTGATTGGTTGTTTGCTATGTCACATGTTTAGAGACTAGAAAAACATCAGTGATTCTACCAAATGTAGGAGGACAAAACTTTATTCAAACTAATAATGAACACAGAGGCCTTTGTGCCTCCGTGTAGCACAGACGCTGTCTCTATGTCACCGTTGTCCCTCTTGTCCCTCCCGTCCCTCCCCCAGGCTGTGCCAGGGCCTCGAGTGGATGATGTCCCGGCTGCGGGTGAGATGATGACCCCTTTGACCTCGCTCCTTGTGTCCGCCGCCCTCGGGGCTGGATGGGAAGACGAGCTCCGGTCCGACGGGCCCCTCCTCCTCCTCCTCCTCCTCCTCCAACGCGGGACGCCGCTCTTCTCCTGTGATCATTTCTTCTACAAAAAGGACGTCTTGAACGGAGAGCAGGAGACAAACAAAAAAGAAAACACAACTTTTGTTGCCGGTGGCGTCTGAACAACGAGACACTTGAATTATTTAAACTGAAATCTGTGCACGTTTTCCTTTTTCAGCAAACAGGTGGACTGTGTGTGACTTTAGCCCACGTGGCCTTGCAGTATTGCCAGACAGGCTGTGGCACTTTTTATTGCCCCCCCCCCCCCCCCCCCCCAGGGAGTGCCAGGCAGAATTCTACTTTTTACGGGGTGCCTAATGCAGAATGTTGGCGTGATGGCGGTGAAAGGGGGGCTGAAAACATGCAGAAAAAAGGACTTCTTCTCTTCAGAGGAATAAAGTGTGTTTCTGCTTCAGGGGAGCTGAGCGCGTCGTCAACGCCTCTTTCTTTGTGACCTTTGTGACCTTTGTGACCTTTGTGGACTGTGTCGTGTGTGAGGTCAGGGTTGTTTGGAGGTCCTGGAGGACGGAGACCAGGTTTTCAGAGGGGGGCCGCAGGACCACTTCATTATCATTTCATGCCGAGCTCATTCAAAAATCTTTCATTTATTAGATAGTGTTAAAAACTGACATGTGAGAAATCAGCCCGATCAGTTTACAGGAATTCATTGTGACACATTTGTTTCTTCCCACTGGGTGTGAAGTTTCCACATGACATCATCATGGCGCTCTCTGTAGTGGAGGTTAGTTTCAGTACATTCAGTCACCAGCAGGAATCGTCACAGCTGCACAGCAACCAAAGCCTCCTTCTGTTGTCCTGACTTTGCTGCTTTATTCTTTCCTGCTGAATGTCACATCTGGACGAGTTCCTCAAGCGGTTCATTTTGTGATTTTCATAACAATAACTAACAAAACTTATAAAACGTGATTCTTTTCAATGGTTTTCCTCGAGCGGCCCGGTTCAACGTGCGCGTTGACCATTGTTGCACTTTGAGTCAAATGACTGGAGAGGAAAGAAGATGATTATTCCTGGTTTACGTCAACCAGGATGGAGATGGAGGGGAACGACCGCCACACAACAGCTTCAGAAGTCTCCAAGAAATGTGTTTAAAGCTGCATTCTCTGTAGTGACCAGCAGGGGGCGACTCCTCTGCTCCCATAGACGTCTATGAGGAAATGACTCTACTTCTCTGTAGTGACCAGCAGGGGGCGACTCCTCTGCTCCCATAGACGTCTATGAGGAAATGACTCTACTTCTCTGTAGTGACCAGCAGGGGGCGACTCCTCTGCTCCCATAGACGTCTATGAGGAAATGACTCTACTTCTCTGTAGTGACCAGCAGGGGGCGACTCCTCTGCTCCCATAGACGTCTATGAGGAAATGACTCTACTTCTCTGTAGTGACCAGCAGGGGGCGACTCCTCTGCTCCCATAGACGTCTATGAGGAAATGACTCTACTTCTCTGTAGTGACCAGCAGGGGGCGACTCCTCTGCTCCCATAGACGTCTATGAGGAAATGACTCTACTTCTCTGTAGTGACCAGCAGGGGGCGACTCCTCTGCTCCCATAGACGTCTATGAGGAAATGACTCTGCTTCTGTGTAGTGAAGTGAACATGAGTTTATGGTCTCAGTCTCTAGTTTCATTCTGTAAATTATGGTCCATTTAGCGTCAAACAGACCGTAACAGCAGGGGATGCTTTAGGGCGGGGCTACACACTGATTGACAGGTCTCTAATAGAACATAAAGCGGGAGGTGGTCACTTCCTGTTCACAGGTTGCAAAAAAAAAAAAAAAAAAAGATGACTCTGCCTATTATTCACACCTCTACTCCCCAGGTCCTTCGAAACGACCTCCTCAGCATCTGGTGTGACTCCGTATTGAATCATCGGGCTGCAGTCGTGATTCTCACTGTGATTCGTTTGTTTCCGTTAGTTTGAAGCAAACGTTTCAGGTGTCGCTGAAGCGAAGCCGTTTCACAAATACGACCTCAATCTAAGGGAGGAGACCCGGGGGTTTATCTTCAGGAAGGTGTGTCCACGGTGCCTGATCACCGTACAGTCTCCAGATGTTTGTCAGCCTCATAAACAACAACAACAACAAGCAGTCATCCTCTGCTGCGACCTCTGACCTCTCCACAGGGCCCCAGCTGGCAGCAGAGTCCACGTCCGAGGTGTCGATGCTGCAGCTGTCGCACTGTTTTATTTCTGTGTTGCAGCATCATGTAGCTCCCACACACACACACACACACACACACACACACACACACACTGATAGACTAAACTTTAAATGTGAGGTATTTACACAACAATTATGGTTTGTAAATGAAATCTCTCAGGGAATCTGATGAATCAGGGTTGAATCAAACTATTGTCTTCACTTGTACTTCTATGTTGTAATTTGCTTTTGCAGAATGAAGTTAAAGCACAAAAGTTCTTCAGGTTATTAAAATCACATATGGGTCTTTTATTATATTTCTGCAAATCCATTCCCAGAATACTTGTAAGTATCAATATTTAATTTGGTTTCTTGTCTTCCCTTTTCACTCTAAAATCTCTCCTCTGCCGTAACGTCTCGTCTCTGTGATCTCATCCTTCTCTCTTCTATCATCTCGTCCATCTCCTGCTCTTCTCCCCTCCGGTCTTTAATGATCTAAATGTGATAGATTCCAAATGAGTCGCTGTGACTCATCGGTCATCCACAGGCTTTGTTTCTAACCAAAGGGTCGTCGCTGATTGGTCAGACCTCTTTTGTTTGAGGTGGCGTCTCATTGGGAATCAAACCGACAAGTGTTTTCTGTGCCTTGAACCTCCTTGTGAGATTTGGACCTGATCCCAAAGAGGAGCGATGCAGATAACTGATGACCTCATCAGATCCCCGAGGCCCTGCTGGGTCTCCTGCCCGCCTGCCTCTAAAACCTTTTTACCTTTTTATAAAACATCTATTTATCAACACAGCCTCTGATCAGGCTCGACCCTTTTTCCCTTCGCATTCCCTCCTCATAACCGTCCTGCTGATGCATTGCCCTCGACAGGTGCTCCCTCCTGACGGGATCATCGGGGTAAATTTAGGTCCTGAAACCCGAGAGCCGGCCTGCGATTGGCTGAGTCGGCCTCATGATAACCTGGGTGGACGTCCTGGCTGAGTTCTGTCGCCCGGCGTTTCTCTGGAGGGAAGCTGGAAAGACTTTGGCGAGCTTTGGAGACCGTTGAACTTTCTATAACTGGTAAGCAAACGAGAGGAGCAAAACCGCTAGAATATCCACGTTTTATACCTGCTGGGACGCCGCGCTGACCCCCCGCTGACCCCTGGACCTGCTCATTGGGGACGAAGAGCTCTGCTGCACATTGAAGGAATAAACCAGAACATCCCGATCTGAAAGGCCCCGGCGGAGCAGACCCCCCCGTACTCTGGATCTATCGGACGTTCTTCTGGGGAAATCTCCACAGCTGTTTTTTTTTTTTTGTTCCTTTTATTCATTCGTCTTAATTATTGTGTTATTAAATTATTGGATTTAAAGAGAGGGCAGCGAAGTGCTAAAAAAGGAACTTAGCATGGCGCCCTATATTTAACCCGCAGCCTCAGAAGGCAGTGGCCCCCCCCCAGCCGGCCGGACGCAGCGGACCAATCAGGCCCCGGAATTGGCTTACATTTCAAATAGCTGAGGCTCTGCTGGCCAGCTGTCGCCAGCCTTCAGCCCCCCGAGCCGTGTTGTGGGTGAACCCCCCTCATAGAAAGGCCTTTGCTTGTCATCACTGTTAACTTTAGTTAGCTGGGGTTTGGGGGGGGGGGGGGGGGGGGGGGGGGTCCTCAGTGGGTTCTGTTTGCTGGTATGAAACGCTCTTCTGGCTTCACATACATTTTTTTGAATCCGGGATAACTGGTCCAACGGGGGCTGTAAGGGGGGGCGGGTCTTAAAATATACATATGCATATGCATATATATATATATATATATATATATATATATATATGCATATATTGATGGAACTTTTAGGTTCATTCGCCGTTTAGATTATGAATAATAAATGTTGTCTGTTCTGTGCAGGGACTCTAACTCCGTCCCCAGATGACGGAAGTAGTAGAGGAGTATGAGGAGTATGAGGAGTTTGAGGAGGAGGAGATCGTGGAGGAGGTAAGTGGAAGTTTTCTCACTTTCTTCCATTTTTAGCTTTTCGTTGGCGTTTTTAAACCTGAATACATTTGCAGGCTAAAACCGTTTACAAAGAGAGGAATGAATCAGTAGAGTTGAGGTTTAAATGCAGGACCTGCAGGTCTAGCAGGCCCCCCCAGAGTAGCTAAATAAGCGCCCCCCCCCCCCCCTCCCACCAGTCAGCAGGTTCTGGTGGATCCAGTTTCAGACGGACCCCCCTGAGACCTGGATTTAAATCCCTTAACAGACACTTAAATCCAAACTATTTCAATTCAAGATACGAGTAATTCGTTGTCTGTTGTGAATCTGAAATAAAAACCTGATAAACGGAGTCTAATTATCTACAGACAAGATTTGATTCTCACACCTGATTCATTTGCCTTTTATTGTAGCAGACCGTCAGATATCTACAGCATGTTTGACCTACAGATGCAAGTTTTAATGTCTCTAAGACAACAACAGCACTCATGCAGCATTAGTGATGTAGGACTGTGATTAAATTGACGATGTTATTTATTTATTATGGTGATGGATTCATTCTGCGTGTGAGTCCTTGTGTCCCTGTCAGTGTCCAATGGAAGAGTGAAAGCAGAAGGCCAGCAGCTTAATCTCATATTTCCTGCTGAAATGGGGTTAAAGTTGGCCTTGTATATTTATTCATACTTAATATTGCTGATATCTTATAGGGGAGTCTGAATGATTTCATTGTCGTTTAACTCCCATATAACATATCAACTGTTTCAAAAGGATTCACCATCTTTACTGCAAAGATGTGAATTGATTGGGAGGCGGAACCGATGGAGACCCATATGGACCCAAATCAATACGCTCTGATTTCACTTCCACTTTCATCTGCACTGTGGAGGAAACAGGACGGCTTCGTATCGCGTCCACAGAACGGAGAGAAACGTCGTTTTACGTCTCCGTGAGCTGCAGCATTTTATGCTGAATGAATACCAGATATTTCATGATGTTCTATTAGCTACTCTCTCAGAAACCAGAGATTTAATATCAAACTTCTGATGTCATCGAGTATAAGTGTGTGGTCATCATCAAACAGCCAATCAGACGCGTCCATCTTGTCCCCAGGCGAGGGGACAAGATGGAATCACTCATTTCTGGGGTTAGGGACTCAAGCTCTCTATGTTTTAAATATTAAATCAAATTGTTGCACTTTTTAGTGGGTCTGAAACCAATAACACTCATTATTCACACACTTAACCAGCATTAATTACCCACAATGCAACGCTCAGTCACATGAGGTTGATCCGTGTCGCCGTGGTAACTGCTGCTTGTTGACATAAAAGTTGAGTGAAAGTACAGCTGTATATTAGTACACTCTAAAAATACTTGATTCTTTTATTATCCTTAAATAAAGTTCAGTATGTCGACACAGAATGAGCAACGACTCGTGTCCTTTAAACGCCGTTAACTCCTCCTTCATACTCGATGATGTCACACATTACGTTAGATCTTGGATTTGAGAGAGATGTCCGTGTTTGTCCTCAGGTGACTGAGGGGCGGAGCTAAGAGGTCTCATTTAGAAGTGGACATCTAGGGCGGAGACAGAGAGCTGATATGTTCTCTCCTGTCTGATGGATTCAGATATCGAAGCCTCCTGTATAAAAGGGATTGAGATGTTCTTTCTCGCAGCTCTGGTTTTATTTTAGATTTCTGGTACATTTGAAGATGTAATTTTAGTTGTAGGAGAAGGAAGTGACTGTAGAAGCTTCATGAGGAGAAGGAAGTGACTGTAGAAGCTTCATGAGGAGAAGGAAGTGACTGAAGAAGCTTCGTGAGGAGAAGGAAGTGACTGTAGAAGGAAGTGACTGTAGAAGCTTCATGAGGAGAAGGAAGTGACTGTAGAAAGAAGTGACTGTAGAAGCTTCATGAGGAGAAGGAAGTGACTGTAGATGCTTCATGTGGAGAAGGAAGTGACTGTAGAAGCTTCATGAAGAGAAGGAAGTGACTGTAGAAGGAAGTGACTGAAGAAGCTTCATGAGGAGAAGGAAGTGACCGTAGATGCTTCATGAGGAGAAGGAAGTGACTGTAGAAGCTTCATGAAGAGAAGGAAGTGACTGTAGAAGGAAGTGACTGTAGAAGCTTCATGAAGAGAAGGAAGTGACTGTAGAAGGAAGTGACTGAAGAAGCTTCATGAGGAGAAGGAAGTGACCGTAGATGCTTCATGAGGAGAAGGAAGTGACTGTAGAAACTTCATGAGGAGAAGGAAGTGACTGTAGAAGGAAGTGACTGTAGAAGCTTCATGAGGAGAAGGAAGTGACTGTAGAAGGAAGTGACTGTAGAAGCTTCATGAGGAGAAGGAAGTGACTGTAGAAGCTTCATGAAGAGAAGGAAGTGACTGTAGAAGCTTCATGAGGAGAAGGAAGTGACTGTAGAAGCTTCATGAAGAGAAGGAAGTGACTGTAGAAGCTTCATGAGGAGAAGGAAGTGACTGTAGAAGCTTCATGAGGAGAAGGAAGTGATCGTAGATGCTTCATGAGGAGAAGGAAGTGACTGTAGAAGCTTCATGAGGAGAAGGAAGTGACTGTAGAAGGAAGTGACTGTAGAAGCTTCATGAGGAGAAGGAAGTGACTGTAGAAAGAAGTGACTGTAGAAGCTTCATGAGGAGAAGGAAGTGACTGTAGATGCTTCATGAGGAGAAGGAAGTGACTGGAGAAGGAAGTGACTGTAGGAGCTTCATGAAGAGAAGGAAGTGACTGTAGAAGCTTCATGAAGGGAAGGAAGTGACTGTAGAAGCTTCATGAAGAGAAGGAAGTGACTGTAGAAGCTTCATAAAGAGAAGGAAGTAACTGTAGAAGCTTCATGAGGAGAAGGAAGTGACTGGAGAAGGAAGTGACAGTAGAAGCTTCATGAAGAGAAGGAAGTGACTGTAGAAGCTTCATGAAGAGAAGGAAGTGACTGTAGAAGCTTCATGAGGAGAAGGAAGTGACTGTAGAAGCTTCATGAAGAGAAGGAAGTGACACACAAGCTGAAAGTTAGACGGGGTATTCGAGGAGCAGCATGCCCCCCCCCCCTCCCCCACCCTTAGATAAATGAGGGTCTTCTCCTCATTGAGTTTTACCGGGCTGGATGACGTGAACTAAAAACCAGGCCGTGTGAGAGCCTGGTGCTTATAGACCTGGTGGCTCATTTAACCAGGGATACATATATCTCTATATCTATATAGAGATATATCTGTATCTCTATATAGATATACAGATATATCTCTATATCTATATAGAGATATATCTGTATCTCTATATAGATATACAGATATATCTCTATATCTATATAGAGATATATCTGTATATCTATATAGATATATAGATCTATAAAGGCTTAATGACAGCACATCCACCAGGAACCCTCTCTGCTCCTCGAGGACTGTTTAATGTGCAACTCAGGAAGTAGTCAATGGGTAACCAGAGCTGCAGAAACATCAGCCTCAGTCTGACCAAAGTGACCCAAAGTGACCAAAGTGACCCAAAGTGACCCCATGCCGTGCTGTCCTCAGAGTGTCTCTTTATTTGTAACATGTCGAGCAGATCACAACGACGACCAAGCACGAGGGCTCTCAGGCCTTCCAGGTAAAGCCCCTCTTCCTCTCCCAAGAGACAGACCCCCCCCGTTTGTCTGCATGTCATCTGGTTATCTGTCCGCTTAGTCCCTCCTGTGTCCTCAATGTTGGAAGGTTTGTATGTTAAGGATTCAAAATCAGCTTCTGCACGTCATTTCAAGTAATTTTTCATTGTTGTTTTGGTAACACTTTCTATGTCCGTTATCTGCTTCATGAATTCAGATAATCTGTTAATATCATTTTGTAATCATAAGAACTCATATATATATATATATTTATAATCCCTCATAACTATAATCAGACTTCTCGTAGTTGTGATGCATTGCAATGTTTTTTTTAAATGCATTGAAACATGATTTTTAATTTAAATTGTTGTTATTTTCTTTAAATAATGACATACATGTTTTCAACTAAATTTTGATTTAATTTGATTAAATTATGATTCACTTCAATTAAAGCTAACAAAGACAAATGTGACATTATGTATTATAATAATTATTAGGAAAATAAAAATGAAATTTTGGAGGTTTTGGGAGGCGGAGCATCTTTGATCTAAACGTCATGTCACATATTCCTTAATATTCCTTCATATTCCAGAAACATTTATCACAAAATATGAGTTAATTAAAAAACTAAATAAACCTGATCCCTGGTTGCCTGGCAACCACTTTTCAAAAGGTGTTTCATCGAGCCAGAAGTAAAGACCTTTTGAGTTGTGTTATTTTGGATGGACACTTCTCTAATAACACAATGACCGCTGTAAAAAGTCCACGCGGCTCCACTTCCTGTTGCTGCGCCTGGCGTTGCATGCGGGATGCGTCACAAGCCGCCGCTTCTTGTTTGTCCTTCAGTCGGCCGTTCGCATAGATATCGTCACGGCGCCTCGTTGTGACCCCCTCCCCCCCCCCTGATGATGTCTCGCTCTGTCCTCCTCCAGGCCGGCCTGCCCAGCAGGAAGGTCAGGAAGAAGGTCAAGGTGGACACCTCCAAGTTCATGACCCCGTACCTGGCTCACAGCCAGAAGATGATGGAGCAGTACAGTCACGTGAGCGTCTCGTCTTCGCCGCATGCGACGGCTTTTTGTTCCCCGCTTCGTGGTTTGAACGACGGGCTCTTCTCCACAGAACAAATACCGCCATGCGTACGACGTGTCCAGAGGGACGCCTCCCGCCATCATCACCGACTCCCCGGAGATGATTCGCATCAGGAAGGCCCAGGAGCAGCTCAGCGAGGTACCACATGACCCACAAGCCCCGGCGTCTGGGGTTAAAGGTCGAGGGTTAGAAGGTTATTGAAGGGGAAAGGTCGCTCATTTTAATGCCGTTTGTGAAACTCAACTGGTCAGATTGAGTGTGACGTTATACAAGTGGATCACAGATTATTATTATTTATTGTTATTTTAACAGGAAAAAAAGGCACTTTAATTCTGATTATTTGATTTGATTATTTTGATAAATAAATCAATTGACATTAAGACATTAAGATTTTCATTTGTTTTCCTGTTTCTGTACAGGTGAACAATTTAAAAATGTTTTTATTTCATTAGGAAAACCAGATTACCAAACAAAGTGATAATAATCAATCCCTCCCTTTTTATCCCCCCGCTTGGTCTTCAGGTGAAGTACCGCATGGAGGGGAACAAGGCTCGGACCACCAGCCTGTACGACGGAGAGGCGCGTGAGGTCGCTCACGTGAAGCGCGTCTCCGAGCTGATCAGCAAGGTGAACACATGGATCCGTGTGTAGATGTAGATGTAGATGTGTGACATGAAGAACAGAAAGGAGCTCTGGTCCCCCCCCCCCCCGCAGGTCCTGTACAGACAGAAGTGGGACGAGACGAAGGACCGGTACCTGCTGCCTCCCGATGCTCCCGAGCTGGTTCTGGCCGTGAAGAATGCTGCGAACTACAGCAAGGTAGAGAGCACCCGCTGCCTGAGACACAACACCTGGGGAAGCGCATGGTGAACCTGTTGTCTCCCCCCGACAGAAACTCTACACGGAGGACTGGGACGAGGAGAAGACGGCGTTCTACCCGTACAGCGACAGCCCCGAGCTGCGCCGGGTGGCCCGAGCCCAGGAGGTCCTGAGCGATGTAAGAGCACCAGGTCCTTCAAGGGACAACTCATTTAGTAACCCATCAAAACACAAGTCTATTTTTAATTAATTAACTATTAATTATATTTGTGTTAATACTGTTTTTTTATTATTTTGATTCATATTCATTACATATTTAATTAAATTAAAAGCAAATTCCAAACCAAAGCAAATATGACAGAATCAGAAAAATAAAATAAAATACTATAATCATGTAGAGTATATTTGAATAGAAATGGAAGAGCTGTTTTAGGCTCAGTATATGTATTTGATGATTTTAGTGTTTGGGGATACAATAATATTTATTCCGAGGATTTAGCCAAACCCTTCATTCTGCAGCAGCCCTCACCAGGTATATCTGGCTTTCATTATCATCAACGAGAAGGATTGAATACCTTAAAAAAACCCCAGAAATAATCCGGTTTATTTATCTGTAAAAATGTAACGTCTAGCAAATGTACAAAATCATTAAGTATACATACATTGATACTGAGTTAAAAATACAATGATAACAGTATGATTTGATCACCAAAGTAATTATTCACTGCCCATCAAACAAAGGACAACATCAAATATGACTTAAATCACGTTGTTCATTCAACATCAACAAGCGCATTTTCTCCCCTTCGATATCGAGAAGTTCTTACTTTTGTTTTATCGCATGTTGGCGTCACACGGCGGCACATTAAAACGGTTCCTTCTGCTGATATAAGACTGTGTAAGACCTGTGTAACCCCCTCAGGAGAACTAAACCACCAACCACCACTGTGTGTGTGTTTGTGTGATGCAGATTCGTTACAAGAAGGGTCATGACCTGCGCAAGGCGAAGTACACCTCGCTGGCCGACCCCCCTGAGATGGAGCTGGCCCGGAGAGTGAGCCGCCAGCGCAGTGATGTAAGCAGAACCCGACCAATCAAACAGGCTCAGTGTGTGTGTGTGTGTGTGTGTGTGTGTGTGTGTGTGTGTGTGTGTGTGTGTGTGTGAGGAATCCATATAAATGATCACTGCAGATGTTCTCAGAGGCTAAAAGCTGCACTTTAGTCTCTGATTCAGTGTTTTAAATGGCAGACGCGTCTTCACCTGCGGTCACATTTATTATATGTTAAGTTCCGACTTCACACGAGGAAAAACCTCACAGGTTCCACAAGCGAGTCCACATCACAACGGTGCAGCTTATAAAGGTGTGTGGTGAAAAACATCATCAAGTTAGATAAATCCTGGCAGTTCTCAGTTCAACATAACTGGCTTTTATTTGGCCTTTATTATTATTATTATTTTTTCCTGCACTTTAATCGTCAACTCTTTATTTCCCGTGTTTTCAGATGTTACTGTTAATAATATGCATACATGAGAGTAACAAAGCTTTGCTTTATTCCACATTTAAATTATGGCAAAACTGCAGCAATCAATTAGAACATTTTGCTTCACACCTGTTGTCTAGAATAACTCCTCTGGTGCTTTCTGTCACGTATAAAACCTATAAATAAAGTCTAATTATATCTGCTGTGACATGGAACCGGGGCCAGCTGCTCTCAGACGTCACCCAGCTGCCAGTGAGAGGCCGCCATAGTTAACAGGAACATGAGATTAATAATTCATCTTAATGGATAGTTTGTCAAACTAATCTCATCGTTTCAATGTCTCTGTGCTTCAGCTTAAATACAAGGAAGATTACAACAAGAACGTGAAGGGCCAGTGGTGCGAGACGCCATACTTCGACGTGGCCACGGCCCGGGTGGCCATGGAGAACTTCAGCAGCGTAAGGAGCTACTGTCACCTGGGAGAGGCGGGGCCGAGGGGGGGAGGGGCTCCACCACATCTCACCTGTCCATCCCTTTTCAGAAAAGGTATACGCAGGACTACGAGGACAACAAAGACCAAATCTACTTCATGCAGACAGACACGCCGGTCTACGACGCCAACAAGAAGGCCCGCATCGCCGCCAGCGAGGTGAGTCATAGCCCCCCCCCCCTATGGGAAACAACTTATGGTTCCTCCCTCCCCTGCGGGTACAATTTATGTCTCCTCCCTCACTTGGTGGAATGACTAATAACTCCTCCATCACCAGAGGTGAAAAAAAGACTATTCAAAAATATTCACGGAAATATTCATGAAAATATTCAAGAAATATTCAAAGCAATGATCGATTACAAAGATGATTATATGTGATGAGGGGGGAAGGAAACCTGTGTTTGCAACATATCTTGCGTCCTACAATATTGCCAGGAAAATAAAAGGAGTGATCTTCATAGGAAACCAGTGGGATGATAGTTGGTTAAAAAAAAAAAAATTCATTAATATTCAAAAAATATTCAAAAATATCCAAAAAATATTCACGGAAATATTCATGAAAATATTCACGGAAATATTCATGAAAATATTCAAGAAATATTCAAAGGAATGATTGATTACAAAGATTATCAAATGTGATAAGGGGGGAAGGAAACCTGTGTTTGCCACATATCTTGCGTTCTACAATATTGCCAGGAAAACAAAAGGAGTGATCTTCATAGGGAACCAGTGTGATGATGGTTGGTGAAATAAAAAATATTCAAAAAATAATCCAAAAAATATTCACGGAAATAATCACGGAAATATTCACGAAAATATTCACGAAAATATTCATGAAAATATTCAAGAAATATTGAAAGGAATCATTGATTACAAAGATTATCAAATGTGATAAGGGGGAAGGAAACCTGTGTTTGACACATATCTTGTGCTCTACAATATTGCCAGAAAAACAAAAAGAGTGATCTTCATAGGAAACCAGTGTGATGATGGTTGGGGAAATAAAAAATATTCAAAAAATAATCCAAAAAATATTCACGGAAATATTCAGAGAAATATTCTTGCAATATTCAAAGGAATGATTGAATACAAAGATTAAAAAATGTGATAAGGGGGGAAGGAAACCTTTGTTTGCCACATATCTTGCTTTCTACAATATTGCCAGGAAAACAAAAGGAGTGATCTTCATAGGGAACCAGACTGATGATGGTTGGTGAAATAAAAAATATTCAAAAAATAATCCAAAAAATATTCATGGAAATATTCACGGAAATATCACGGAAATATTCACGGAAATATTCACGGAAATATTCATGGAAATATTCACGGAAATATTCCGAAAAATATTCATGAAAAATTCAAAAAATAATCACGAAAATATTTAGAAATATTCAAGAAATATTCAAAGGAATGATTGATTACAAAGATTATCAAATGTGATAAGGGGGGAAGGAAACCTGTGTTTTCCACATATCTTGCGTTCTACAATATTGCCAGGAAACAAAAGGAGTTATCTTCATAGGGAACCAGTGTGATGATGGTTGGTGAAAAAAAAAATATTCAAAAAATAATCCAAATAATATTCACAAAAAATATTCATGGAAAATTCACGAAAATATTCACGAAAATATTCACGAAAATATTCACGAAAATATTCATGAAAATATTCATGAAA